GGGGGAAGTGCCTGCTGTCCGGTTCTAGGCCTGATTTTTTTCAAAGGTTACTGAACTCTAACTTCATACAGTTGTTTGTTTTTTTTTTTTAATGAAGAGAAATAAAACCAAGCTGCAACAAAGTCATTTTCTTCTGGCTTTCGAATTTTTCTGTCACTTAATAACATAGGAAAATACTAACAATTGTGTTAGAGGAAGTTTGGAGTTCTGCTTCCCAAGATGAACGTACCAAGTGCGTCCCTGCTTGGAGTGTACCTATGGATAGTGAATTAATCTGCGGTAGTGATGGACTTGATCATAACTTGCTGCATGTATCAGTTACAAAATACTGATTGTGCAATCAAAGTAGAGACAATAGACTTAAGGAGTGGTGTAACTGGAATGGAATCTATTTATTTTACTGTTCATTTGCCTTGGTGCAAAAATATTGAATGTACTAATCAGCTCTCTTCTCAGTGCCATCTTTGGTCACTTACAAGTATAATGGAAAGCTTTTTTGGGGAACATGACAAGAAAATGAATTTCTGTTCTGTAGAGTGATCTCTGTTGGTTGCTTACTCGTTATGTTAGACCAACCTTGGGACAACCTACTGAGCTTAACTAAAGAGTTGAAATCATATTGAGAGTGAGTGGATCTACTTATTCTTCATCAAAGTTATTTATAAATGATACGTATGACTGTCTAATTTACAGTAAATTCAAGCATTGTGGGACTAAAGAGTTTACAAATAGGATATAGTTAGAGCTGGGAGCGTGGATTTTTCTTTCAATCATCAAGTTACTGGAATAATTAAAAGCAAAAATACAAGAGCAAATGTGAGTTCACATTTTAGAGAATTTAGACTATTGAGCCAGAATTCCAACAAAAAACAGTTTGCGTGCGGGAGAAGTTTAACTTTGGCTATGTGCATGATAAGAAGCTAGCAAGGGGGCGAAAAAAAACCCCAACCAAACAAAACAGGTGGTGCTTCTGGTCAATACTGATCAATTCTGATCTCTTACGTTTGTTTGTGGTGTGGTTTTATTTCTTTTTGTTCCTGCAATAAGGGGTTGGTAGCACTCTGGTACTCAGAATCAGTGTACCAGAACTGTTTCTCTGCTAGTCAAAAGGCTTTCTATTGCAATTTTTTCAGCAAATTGATGTCTTGCTGGAATGCAAATCTTAGGTCCTGTATGTCTTCTGTGGTGAATCTGTGCTCTTCTAGTTTGAAGAGAATAACAGGTCTATTTTTTTCTCAGATTTTCAAAAAACAGGCTTTTGATCTCTGCCCTTTCTTGCATTTCTTCATTATTGCGGACATCAGTGTTATTTATCAGCATTAAAAAAAAAGTTACAATGGTCTGTGTGTCTCTGAAACAACAATTGTGCTCTCCTGTTCTGTCCCAGCTATAGAAGAGTCCTAATCCCTGAATGGAGTGTTAGGTGTTACCATAATGTGAGTGATACGATAATTAGTAAGGATTCATCGGTCTTAGTTATGCATAAATGCATATTTACAGGCTAATCTTAACACTTTATAGGCTTCTTTGAGAAATATCTTCATGGATTCATGCAACTCAGTTAGCCACAGGTAAAGAACCTGTTGGCCCTGAAAAGTTGCTGCTGTTCTGGTAGTGTATCTGTGAGAAACATAAGTAATGCTAAATGCTGGCTCAGGAGGAGAATAAGTGAGCCATTGAGCAAGAGAGTGTAGCTTTAAAAGATGCGGAAAGAACAGAGGAAGATGGACCCTTTTTGTTAACTAAAATATCTTTTTTTTTTTTTTCTAAGGGAACTGTGCTCTTCAGTAAAGCTGTTGTTTACATATTTTCTGTAAACACAGAGTAATGCCATTGTGAAGCAAATGGTGCACTCGGTTTCTTAACAGACAAGCATATGCTTAAGTGTTTGCTCAACTAGAGCCAACTTGATAAAATTGAGGTTAAGCTGGAGGATCTGTGGTGTTTACCTGGCACTAGCACAAGTATTTTCCAATACCTGGAACTTCCAATGAGATGTGTGGCACTGAAGAGAGAGGTGGCAGCCTGAGTTTTCCTAAAGGCTTTGAAATGTGTGAAGTACATGGCCACTCCTAGATAAGCACGTTTTCAAGATGCTGCTTGCTCTGCATATTGTATTAAAAAGCAAAACCTGTTAAACTCAAATCCCTCGGGAGTGATTGTTAATAATTGAGGAAAATGTATTGAAGATGAGGAATGGGATGCAAGTGTTCTCACTGAGAGCAATACAATGAATGAAAACACTTTAGCAGGACGCTTAAATTCCCAATGCTGCTTCATACATCTGTAGCTTTTTATTATCTCTCTCTCTCTCTGTATATATCCATCTCCTTACCATATATACAGTAAGGCAGGAGGGAGAGTTACGAGGGTGACTGAAGGGTGGTTCAGGTCCGATGGAGGGAGTGTGGAGGAGATGACGCAGGCATTCACTGCTGCACAACTTGGGAAATGCATGACACTGCCCTGCACGCTTTGAGGGACTGTGGTTCTCTTCTCCTTCCTGTTCTGTAAGGAAGTCTATGCTTGAATTAACTGGGGTTTTTTTTGTGGGTTTCTTTTCCTGTGTTTTACATCTTTCTCTTACCTGGGCAAACACCAAAAAGAGATGCTTACCACAAGTTAGTATTGTGTAATTTTTGTGGTGTTATTGGCCAGGTGCTTTTTTTTTTTCCTGTGTGTCTGTGATATGAGACCACCTTCCAAACAGTAATGAAATTACCATCCACATGGGGTGGTGAAGTGTTTGCGTGCCTAGGCTGCAATTAAAGACACTGAATTAGCAGAAGATAACTCAAGGTCACCCAAGAGATAGTTGGCAAACCTGTGGTCTAGACTATGCGGTTGCTTGCTCTGTCTGTGATGCTTATTGCCACTGCTGTTGTTTCTTAGAGCTAGTCAGGTTGGAAAGGATGAGGGAAAGGAGGAAAGCATTGTGATTTCCTAGTAGTTGTCTTGCATGTGCGGCTGCCATTAAAGATAGAATGAGTATTCCCTTCATTCATATATTCTGTCTTCAGTTTTGTAACCTCTTTTTTTGAAATGCAGATGTTGTGGGTTTTTTTTTTTTGTGTGTGATGCAAGTGCATAAGTCTACACAGGTCAAAACACTTTGTGAGGATACTGTGCTTAGCACTGGTCTGCTACCCATTAGTTTTAGTTTGTGTCATTCTGGTGTTGCTTGTTATGCTTTTATTGGATCTTTCTTCAGATTAGTCTTTAAAAGCTATATGAACGTTTGTGGAAGGCACGTATAAAAATATATCTAAAAAGTAGCTTTATTGTAGAATTACTAGGTGTTTAGAATAGGTTCTGCAATGTTAACAATAAGGTTTTCCAACTCGGAAAGGCTTTACTAATGTAATATACTCCTAATAACCTACCTGTACAGAAAGCTTTATTATCCTTTATTTGGGGACGGAGATGAGGGAGGATGATGGGAGAGTGTTGTAAAAACAGTGTTTCAGGCTACCAATGAGAAACATATCTTAAAAAAAAGAATTCAAGAGTAAGTTACTGTTTTCTGTTTCTTGTCAGGTGCTAGTAATGTAAAGCCATTGGATGGTGTGAAAATTCTTGATTTAACAAGGTTTGTGTTTTGTCTGTAATTTGGAACAGTCTGTCTAGATGCAAATATGCTGATAGGAAAAACTAAGAAAACAATCTTTTTTAATATTACAGGGTGCTTGCAGGACCCTTTGCCACAATGAATTTAGGAGATCTAGGGGCTGAAGTTATCAAAGTGGAAAGACCAGGTAAGATGTTTATTTATCTGTTTTAGATACAATAAGAATGTGGGGTACTTTGACAAGTAGTTATTTATGTATTTTAAGTAATACATGACTGAGAATGCAAGATTGAAAACTTTTGAAAATATTTTCAAAAGACAGTACTATGTTTATTTGGTGATGGTGTGTTTTTGGTGACAGTGTGTATATGGTATTGTGTTAAGAAATAATTTTGTAGCTATTTGTATATTTTTTTGAGCCAGCAGCTTTCAAGTTCTGGGAATATTTTACATCCTCGTACTATTTTGGGTGTGGTGGAGAACTAGTTATTAGTAGGTTTGCTTATATGTGTATGATCTGTTTGCTTTAAGCTTAACACTGTGCTCCATGTATGTGTGTTTTGATCAGAAGTAGTCTGTCTATATCTAGAAAAGAGTGTGAGAAGGTTGAAGTTGCAAGGTCAGGTAACTTTTTCAGATATTAATACACAAAACAGTACTGAGTCATCACTTACTGAACTGCTGTATTCCATCACTCAAAACTAAATTGATTTTGTTTGAATTGTTTGGACTTTGCTTGATTTTTAAATTAGGCTTGTGAATGCTTAGGTGTATGGTGGTTTTTTTTTGTAATGTGGTGAGAGGGTTAAAACACGGTTTTAAGTGTAGTGTTTGACATGCAAAATTTGACAAACATACAAATCCTTCCAGCAATTAGTTCATAAGAATTATGGAAAATGTGTTTTTCCCATTTGGCAATTCAGAATCTTCAGCTCAGTTCCCTCTGAGCCAAAACGTCTTAGGTAATTTTAAATAAGAATACATCTTACTACTCAGGATTAGAATACTGATAAAATATCAGGCTGTTTAATTTTGGAAACAAACTCCACCTTCTATTTTCATTTTTATTATTACAAGGAAGAAAGGTAATATGAGTATTTAAAATATATATGTTGCTTGTTAGCACTGCTTTTGTGTCATTATTACACAGATCTAGTGGGATTGGCAAGCATTTTGACTGGTAGAGTATAAGGTGACTTAGCATACTGTATCAACTTTCTCTTGAGAAAAATTTTAATATTCCAGTACAGTTTCAGCTTGTTAATTAAAAATTACCTTGTCAGAGAAGTCTTTCTTTGGAATTGTGCAAAGTGAACAAAAGTTGTTTTCTGCATGAGGTAGTTTTATCTTTAAAGTCCAGGATCTGATATTCCTGTATAGGTGGAGATGGGAGTTCATTGGAAAAGGGAGATTTGAATTTGCATGAAAATCTTCATGCTAGTGCTGAAAGTGTCTGAGGTTGATGAGCTTTGAGCTTGAGTGTGTGTTTTCAGATGAAGAAACTTGTGCAGCTCCTTCTGAGTCTGATTTGACTCAGGGTAATTAGCTTAATAAATAGAATTTATTTTATTTTCGTGTATTTTAGCTGAACAAAATGGTTTTCTTTTTCCACTCGGCATATGTACTTCTTATTCAAAGAGTTGTTGAGAATTGGATAATGGTAAAAAATGCTTCATTCTTATGGAATAGGTACACTTTTTAGTTTGTAAGACCATACAAGAAGAATAACAAATTGCATGGCATTTGGTTCTTCTTTAGAAATGTTCCCTGCTTTTGGCTTTCAGTTTTATGCATCATTATGCATTTGAAGCATGTAATTATGCCATAGGAGCTGCACATTGTTATGTATTTTTTCCTTCTTTAAGTTTCCATGTTTTAAGTTTCTCTCTTTTGGTATTAGTTTTGAAAAGAGCTGGTGAAGATAATTACACACTTGAGATGCTAAAACTTATTACATTCCCTATATTTTATGTTAAATAGGAAATATTGAATGCTTGAACATTTAACAAAACATTGAATGTCTAACAAGTTTTGTCACATCAACCTATGGGTCATCCTTAATCACTCACCATTGTGCAAATGTTTGCACTTTTGTGACAGGGCAGAAGCTGCATCAATTTTGTATTATCAGGTGAGACTGACAGTAGTAGTATTTGAAGTATCTAGGTAGTAGGTATGGAGCAATGTCAGCGATTAAATATGAAGTAATGGTTTTGGAGATTTGCATTCCAGCTCTTAGAGTTTTTTTTTTTTTTGTGATTTGAAGAAGGGCAGCCTGAGAATTCTGAATTTCAAACATTCTAAAATGTGAGTAATCAGCTCTCCTGTGAAAGCAGACATCCTATTACAGAAAGTATTAATCCATAAAGGATAGTAGCCATACTCATCCTACACATGGAAAGTATTGCTGAAATGTTTTGCTTCGAGTGGCTTG